GGTGCCGAGCCTTTGAGCGAGAACAAGGCGCACGCTGAATAAACTGCGACAACAGTTATCAGGCACTTGCGATCACGCCGACCTCGATGATGAGGACCTGATCAAGGGCAGATATTTTTCTTTTGTTTCTGCATATTCAGGGCGCTATAGGTAACAGAGACTAGCGATGACGCCGACCTCGGGATGAGGACCTGGTATTATACCCCTATTTGTTTTGTGTTTTAGCGAGGCGTCATGGATACCAGAGACTTGCGACGACGCCGACCTCGAAATGAGGACCTGGTCTGATGTACACCTTTTTGGTTTTTATGCTTTAGTGAGGAGTTATGGTCATGTCAGAGACGAGCGATCACGCCGACCTCGAGGATGAGGACCTGACATACTATATACCCATTTGATTTATCCACGTACTGTTCTAAAGAGACTCATTTAAATATATAGCAACAATGCAATTCATATTGCTCGCACACCAAAGACCCTGAGCCGTTTGACTCCACCGTCAGGGAAGATGCTCAACTTGACATGTGTGAAAGCCTGATCTGGGATCAACGACTCCATGGGGCGCTCCTCGTCCGGCCCACAATCGAACAATTGAGTTAAATTCCTCCATCTCTCGTCACTGGCTTCTGGTCCAGTCTCACCCTCAAAGTCTATCCCAGCAATTTGCGCTTGGTCTGGATAATTACCCCGGAAATGTGAGGTGTCTAACAACAGACTCTTTATCTTGCCCCGAGTCCCAAGCTTGACGACAGCCCAATCTACATGGTCTTCAGTCCTCGATCGTGATGTTTCCCATCCATCAGCCATGTCAGGACCTCGTCCAGGGAGAAGAAGATTGCTTGTCAGTGTTCCGAACTCTTGATCACTCCACGATACTGCCATGCCTCCATTCTGCATCGCTGCTAAATCAAACACGGCCTCCACGTCTTCTGGAAAAATGGGTACGGCCTTTCCATAGAGACGAAATCTGGCGATTCCTCCATCGGGATACATGTTCAGCCTCACGTGCGTGAATCGATTTGTTGAACTTGCAAGTTTCCAGCCGTGCCGCTGTGATGGGCCGCAAGGTTGACGGCCCAAGATAACCTCCCACTTCCCACGATCGCCTTTCCAAGACACAACATCCTCACCACTGCCACTGAAACAGCCCTCGACTGATATTGCTGGTGCTTCATTTCCTTTGAAAAACGTGGTATCAATTTCTATGCCTTCAATTGTTCCCGAGGAGACTCCGAGTCTGATGATGGTGTAATCGAAAGGAGATTTGTTGTGCCGACGAGACTCCCACCCGTCCATCCACTGCCCTGTAAATATTTGTTTCTCTGAATAGATTGGTCTTTTGGGTAGGAGAAGGTTCGTAGCTGGTGCGAACCATTCATCCGAGACAGCTAGAACTCTGCCCCCAAGCTGGAATGAGATGAGGTCTAATGTGGAAGTTAGTTACAGACCATTGGAATCAGACCAGGAGAAAAGTTGAATCCCATACCTATACATTGAGGACTGAAAGTTGAATCAATGTTGTCTGCTGGAATAGGGGTTGCCTCTACATCAGCGAGCTCGTACCGTAAGCGAGGCATCGTACGACGTCGTGACCAATCAAGAATCCTTCAAGTATTCAATGCTCGAGGTGACCGGATATAACAATCAACCGTTGTCTTAAAGATAGGATATCGTTAGTCTATCGAACCTGCATGCGCTAACTTGGCCGTCGGCCCGCTGGCTTACATCCCACCTTATCTTGCAGTCACTCGTAGACCCCATTGCTAGCATGTCAGACTTAAGTAACAGAAACGTGAACCGTTTTGCAAACTATTAGAAATATCCCAAGGTATGGTTTCTGGAAATACTTGACTTGTTCATCTAAGCTATCTGCCGCATGTAAAAGGGACACATCCGAGTATCTCCATTTGCGATCATTTCCATCAACAATTGCACTATGGGTTCCACACAGCAACCTGTATCGGTCAGTCTACGTGACCTTGAAACAGGCAAGTTTCAAAGTCCTACACTAAGCAATGATAGACAATAACATGTCGAAGGTCACGTTCCACTCTCAACCCTCGAAGATGCGTTCGGTCCCTCTTCTCTCGGAATTATTATCGTCAAGGACCTCCATTCATCGTTCCGGACACTACGAAGAAGACTCCTCACACTTGCATCACATCTCGCGCAGCTCCCCGAAGAGCAACTTGGTAAGCATATCAGCGTATTTTCGAATTTGAAACAGGATTAACTTTCCTACAGACCTCCTCGTTAATCCTCAAGCACACTACAATGTCGGTTGGTCTCATGGTGTCGAGGCCTTGCGACCTGGTGTATACGACACAAGCAAAGGGTCCTTCTACGCAACTGTTCTCTCTTCAGAATTTGCATCACGCCCTGATCAGCCAGAATTGGAATACCCAAATATCTGGCCTTCGGAAGACCTCCTTCCTGACTTCCGAGAAACGTTTGAGGAGTTATGCGCGATGATAATCGACATTGGCATCCTCGTTGCACGAGCTTGTGATGTTTTTGCAGCCCACAACGTACCGGATTACCTCGCTTGGTCATTGGAAAGGATCGTGAAGGAGAGTACGATGAGTCGTGCGAGGTTGTTGCATTACTTTCCTCAGATGGATGACAGCGGGCCTGAGGATGCTGAGGGAGATGATTCTTGGTGTGCAGCTCATGTCGACGACGGCGGCCTTACTGGGCTGACCTCTGCGCTGTTCCTCGACGAATCTGCTCCACTTCCGTCATATTCAAATAAAGCCGATGAATCATTACAGTTAAGCTCATCCACGTTAATCTCTGACGCGAAGCCAGATCCCCAGGCAGGACTGTACATTCGTTCCCGAGCAGGAGAAGTCATAAAAGTCAGCATCCCTTCGGACTGTCTTGCGTTCCAGACCGGATCTGCCCTCGAGCTCATGACGAAGGGCAAATTGAAGGCGGTGGAACACTTTGTGAGAGCACCAAGTGGAGGAGAAGGAGGGAAGAGGGTGGCAAGGAATACGTTGGCGGTTTTCATGCAGCCGAGTGGAGAAGAGGTGGTTGATTTCGAGACAGGGAAGACGTTTGGGGAGCACATTCGAGACGCGGACGAGAGACATGCTTGAAAGAAAGGTAGTCTTTACTAAAGCAATCTGGGACCGCCGGTTCGTGAGGAACTATATCATCCGTCGCAAGTCAATAGGGGTCTAAAGAAAGAGGAAGAGTACAGGTGCGGGGTAAATGAGGGGTTAAGCGAGAGCGATTCAGGGGTATCTTTGGCGATTGCAACGATTGCTGTTGAGTCATTGGACGAGATCGTGCAGATGAGGAAACATAAATGGCGGTGGAATCACGAATTTCTTTCCATTTGAAGTACTTCTCTCAATTTGGGGCATTTGGAGCACAACTTCTGAGTTATTATTCATGTTTATTAGATTATTTGGGCATATCTACCTATCTAGTTTGAGGACCCCATCTAGTCTGAGTTCAGAGTCGCAACCAGATACTCCTCAAGATTTAAAGCACCATTCATGATTCTATCTCAAGCTCTCCCACCATGTTTTCCAGATCGATACCCCCTTCGCACGCATCGACCCAGTCACCCATCCTATCGCTGACCTGCTGGTCTTTCAACTTATCATAATCTTCACAGTCAATTTCCATTGGACTTACAGGACTTGATGCCCTGACAATATGCCGAAGCATATTTGCCCTGTCCTCATCCTTATCCTTCAAGTCCAACTTTTCGTAGCTTCTCAATGCCAACATGAGCATGACCTTCATCGTGGCATTGGCGTCGTTCCCGGCATTATGCCAAGTGATGCCCTTACTTTCAATCTCCAGCCAGTCTATCAACTCCGTCAAGCCTGGGCGGAGCCATGGTTGCAACTTAAATACGCCGTAAGCAAGATCCGCCGTGTCTATGACCGGAACATCTGGGATGCTCGTGAAGTCCAACTTGCCTCGCTCCGTACGAGCCAAGCCGTGCAAGTCGTAAAATATAGAATCGCCGACGAGAATGACGTTTCGGGGCTCTGTTCGAGCTGGGTCTGGAGATCCTGTTCGTAAGACTTTTTCCAGGAGCCATCCAGACCAGCGTCGATTCATGCGTTGAGAAGTGCCGAAGTTGAAGGGTCGAGATGCTTCGGCCTTTAAATCTTTACGTACAATATAGTTGTGGGATTCTAAAACCCTCGACCAGTCAGATATGTTGTCTGGATTATTCAGATTTCGGGAGTCCAGTATTGTAAGGCCAATCTCTCTAACGGATCCAATGTATCCCTCTGTGTCCAAGCATACGAAGACGGGATCTTCAAACGTTTCCGCTGAATAAGAAAGCGTAGATGAGAAGTAGGCGCTGCTCGCTGATGCACCTTGAGGGGATGAGAGTCCGAGGCAGTGTCGTAGTACATTCAAGTTGAAGTTGCGTCTATCGTGACGCAGTCTGTCCTTAGTGGCTTCGCTTTTTTCAGCGCGCATCGCCCTTTGCAGGCATGGATCAGGCGATAACATGGTTTTTGTATGTCCAAATGAAATGTTGAAATGGTGTCCGATATTGACCAATTCCCAAGTTTTGATGGTCAATTGATATTCTATATTTGGCGGAGGGAACTTGCGTGGAAGGGCGTGGAGCCTTATATGTCCGTCGTTGTAAAATGGACTGAGCTAGGCCTACTAGCTTCCATGCCCCATGATTGCTAGCCAGCCAAGAATAACAAATTCACCTTAGCCCCGCAAGTCCATGATTGTGCTTGCTTCTAGGTGTCAAAGATTCGCTGTTGCTGTTCCATGCGTTGTGATTACAGATGAAGGTGAGATGAAGTCTTGGCACGTGCTTCAACCTGAACTGGCAGGAAGGACCTCGAAGAGCAGCAAGGTTCACATCACCAGTCCCTTCCTTGCTTTCCTTCGCTTGTAATTCTAATGCAACCGAAAAGAATCCACGATGTGATGCCTCAAAAAAAAACCAAAGGACGATGAGTATATACTAGATAGAAGAAAACAATGAAGGCAAAAAGTATGGGTGCCACGGCCGGGACTTGCACCCGGGCATCCGACGATCTGGTATTTACCAGGGACGGCATCCTAACTAACTGGACCACCGTGGCTTTGATTTTATTGTGAAGAAAATCTGCTTATTTAAATCTATACAGGTAGTTTCGTTTGGCGGGTACGTGGTGTAGACTGTCCAACAACGGCAGGAACACCTACGTTGACCACATCGGCGAGAGAGAGCCAAGCCCGACCCTTACCCAACGCTGTAGCCTTAGAGAAAAACTTCACAGCTCACACTCGAATAAAGACCTTGTCTGTTGTGCGAGTGATACTTCATGTCAAGAATGTCCGTTTCCTGGCAAACACGCGCGCGCGTCTTGACTTCCTTGTTGCAGTGCTGTCCTCGCTGCAGCTTAGTGCAGACGCAGGAACCGGCAGCCTCCTCTCAACCAAGCCAAACCACCGTGCATCATTCACAGGAAGGTCGCAAGAGTATAGGATGTGAGGTCAAGAAGGAAGCAAGATATTGCATCTCATGAAGGGGATACCTTTCGTGACTAAGAGAGACATGTGAATCTGGCACTCAGAGAGACTGGAGCACCTGCAGTAGTGCAGAGAGCTGCTCAACTCACATTGGGCATTTTTCAAGACTATAGTACTTGCGCTCAGCCTCGCACACGGACACATACAGCTTCAAAGGCGTATTCATGATCCTGGGTAACGTGAAATATCCTTGACAAAATTAGGTTCCTTCGTGGAAGCTTCCCAGCATGACCACACAGGTTCAGAATGCAGCGCAGCAAAATAATCTAAGCTAGATAGAAAGGAAATCCAACGAATCTAAGCAAAAGAAATCATTTCATGTAGCCTTTTCGTAATAGCGATTCAATCGAATACCTTCACATCAAGGTCTGTGATGAAATGATGGCTCAAGGACGCGACTTTAATAACAGTGTGACGCCGCCAGAATGTGTACGCGAGCTCCCAATTCCGAGCATAATGGAAATTTTAAAAGAACGGAGGATAGTTGGGAGTCAAAGAGTGTTATGGGGCCTTGAGCGCTAGGTTTCCGCCGGATTACAGTAGGGGCTGTAATGCCGAGAAATAGTGAAGCGAGCCCCTGGAGCATGCATTGAAGACGTAACGAGCCTACTATCGCTAGTTTGTGCGATTAGGGCCTTTTGCTTACTCACGACCCCTATAACAAAATTTCGACTTTTTGAACTCTTTGCCGGATTTATTAATTGTAGCTGCAAATACACTTTAGCTTCTTTCAAAGTATTCTCTTGAATTAAAGCTCATACTATTAAATAGTTATAGAGAACTTTGAAAGTGGAAAAGGAGACTTTGGTTTTCCACCCGAGTCGAAAGCCTGAAAAGCAGCCTGAGCGCACAGACTAGCGATGGTAGGCTCGTAAGCACTCGCCAGCCTTTATTTAACATGAACATAAATCGCACCCATATTGCTCATGAACTCCCACACAGAATTTTTTTTTAGAGAGTACATTCACTTAGGGAAGTCGGGGAGCATCCGCATGCGGCTTGGTCACAATGCAGACCACCTAAAACAATATTCTTTGTCATTATAGTTCTAGCATTAGATAACTCCTTCATAAACCATATTGGAAAAGCCAAAGGAATCCTCGAAATTCGCTGTCCAATCCTCAGCTCTCGTCCTTTTGTGCTCTTCGTTCAATCGATCCCTATCCTCAGAGCAAACCTCAACCCACCGCCCCGGCTTCGATGTCTCAATCACCTTGGTCAACAACTCCATCCTTTCCCTCTGAGTGTCGGTCACCTCTTCTCCACAACTCTTTACCGCGAACATGATCAACACCTTCAGTGTCATATTTGCATCATTCCCCGCATTGTGGTTATAGAAACCCCGGCTGGACTTTTTGATGCCCAGGCGATTCGCCAGTACTACTAAGCTGGGATCCGACCTCAAGTCGAAGAACGTCCGTCCGAAATGGCTAGTATCGATGATTGGGATATCTGGGAAATCGAGGATGTCGAATTTCCCTTTGGGTTGCCTAGTTAGCAATTGGAGATCACCGGCGAGGGCGTGGCCGACAAGGATCACGTTGCGAGGTTCGACGCAATCTGGATCCAGAGAGCCGGTGCGAAGAACCTTTTCAAGAACCCATCGGGTCCAGCGAGGCTCGAGCGATTTCGATGTTCCAAATTTGAAGTGTTTGTCGTCTCTGCCCCACCTCTTTCTGAGAATGAAGTTGTGATTCGAGATTGCAGCAGCGAGGTCATCGGTCGCAGCCAGATTCTGGAGATCTCTGGTATCGAGAATTGAAAGACCGAATTCTGTGATCAGCTGGCCCTCTGTGTCCAGAGATACGAGTACCGGATCCTGGAACCTGGCACTCTCACAGCTGAGTCCAGATGATGAGAAGCAGGCATCTGCAGCAGTTGAAAGTCCCAGCCAACATCTCAGTACACTGAGGTCAAAATGGCGTTTGTCTTCTCGGATTCGGTGTAACCGTTGATCGCTCTTGAGGGCGGCTTCGGCGGTTATTCCCATATTGCAGTCTGGCACGTGACGTCGATACGTCAAATGTGTAGGCTGAATGGATTGTTGCGACGCCGTACTGGACTTTGAAGTAGAACAGATGACCAGCGATGCTGAAGCTGCTTTATTGTTCTAGTGATGCTGGGAGATTGATATTTCGTTGTGAGAACGAGTGCATGGCTGCTGGTGTGTTAGAATATACCAGGTACTGGTGGCATTGCGAAATGGACTACCACTCGATGACTCATTAGAGCAAGGACATTAAGTCACCATTTAAAGGTGAGTTGTACCATGATAGAGGACGAGAGCCTTTGCCAGAGTTCTTCGTGTCACTTGTCATCGTCCTCAGCTAGGCACTTGCACCTCCCACCCCGAGAGGAAGGAATGAAGACAGCGGCTTCCACAACAACACCACTCGCTTGCTATTCCAAATCAAATGAGCTATGCACAATGAAAAATCAGCAAAAAGAAGACAGATGAAAATGGATGTAAAATTCGGGCATCAGAGCCCGGAAGAAACAACGGTAATAGAAAAAGGAAACAAAAAAAGATTGTTGTATCGCCATGCACGGGACTCGAACCCGTAGCCTCCGGCAACGGTCGCCGGCATGCTACCATTGCGCCAGCAAGGCTTTTTGAGGTTGTTGAGGTCAATTTGCTTATTTAAATCTATACATACAACAGTAGCCAGGACGGAGTTCACGCATCACCTGCAAGTTTCTTCTGTGACAAGCAGGACCGGGCAGAGCAGCTTCTTCAACACAACTCGCTTGCTTCCTGCTTAAACGAAATGAGCTGTACACAATGCAAAAAGAAGCTAGAGAATCAGAAAAAAAGAGTTCTAAGGTCGATCAAGCATTTTGGGAGTGCCAAAATTGCCAAAAAAAAAAAAAAAGTTTACATTCTGGCATCAACGGGGCTCGAACCCATAGCCACGAGATCTTCTCCAGCATTTGGAGGGCCGTGCTCTTCCGACTAAGCTATAATGCCTTTGTGTAGTTGTTGGAGGACATTTTGCTTATTTAGATCTATGCAAGCAGCAACAGCTGGGGGTACTTGCACGCATCACCTGTGAGCTGCAATTACCGACACCTCGACACCCCACTGGAAGGTGCAAGGACAACTTGCACAAATCGTAGTGCGACATATTATGGTGTGAATAGCGGCACCCGAGGCTTTTCGGATGTTGGAGAGTTCGGACTTTTTACAAGTTTGGACGGTCGCTGGATGACATGACTTGCATCCATGATGTTCCACAGGCTAGATGGCAATGTTCCATTGCTAGTGGGGAGATCTCAAGCATGTTGTATACGCATGCCCGAGGACTAGTATCGAAGGTGGTATACTAGGAAGACATTCCATGATCGAACCATCGAGAATGTTTATTCTGCGATGAAAAGATGTTTGAATAGCCTGTGAGCCATGGACTACAGAGATTCAGCTGCTTGCCTGTACCAAGTCGGGACTGTAGCCCGCCAACCACTATAGAGGACCACAAGATCTCCACACACAAAGGTCCCGATCGAGTTTATAAAACCAAATATTCATTTATGAACAATGAGAAGGCTTGAAACAGAACTACAAAACCTCTCGTATCGATTTTTGTGGATTTGTTGACCCCCTAAGGCTTGATCGTCACCCATGACCACGAGGCAAGCTTCACATCGCCACCGAAAGAAGAAACCCAAAATCTCATGGCAGAAAGGGTTTCCTGAGTGGATCAGAAGGTCGCGCTCAGAGCTGGCAGTCTCCACCGCTTTCTGCGCAGCTTTACGGTGCGTCGAATTCTGGCCAAAGTTGAAGATATTGCCAATATGCCTGAGCAGCCAACAGCAGAGGCACCGTATGCTGGCAACCAAAATTCCAGGGAAGACACGTAGCCCGGGTACACTTGATGCGTGGCTATCAGTTTCATGACTTACACCTTTGTTTTTGTTGAGCTCTTACGCGTCGGGTCTTCGCTGGAAGGGCACACATCGCCACTATGATCTCTAACGCCAGAGATGCTGTGGCCCTTTTGCTGAAGATACAAGACAAATGGTGTATGAACGCATAGGCAGATGCGTCGCTCATTACTGCCATTCTCTTGAACGGCCTCTTCATAGTCGCAGGTCAGTGATGGCTTGGCTGCTGCCGATGTTAGGTCTCCTCGACATCCACCCATCGCACGCTAGATCCACCACTTTCAATCATCGCAACCAAAACAGACACCCGAAAACCAAAGAGATGCAAGAAAACCAAAGAGTATATGCAAAAGCATCCGAAGATCAATTCGAGATCAATCGAAGCCACAGCACGTCTCGTGGTCATCGGAACAGCCACAAGTGGCGACGCTGCACCAGTTTCCAAGACATCATAGCCCCGATGCTAGGCCGGCACACCACTCAGGTATAGTATTCCCGTTGCGTGAGTCGAGCATTTCTAATTTCTGAAATCTTTACTGGAGTGTCGCCAGTGGCTGCGGGGATTGGTGATCATGAGGTCTTCTATCGCGGATAAAGGTGAGGAAAGACCAGGACTTCCAATCCACGACCACCTGAAGTATAAACTCATGCCATTATTGGTACCTATACTTGTACATCATAGATATGTTCCCGTGCAAGTGCATCCATCCCATCCCGAACGCCGAAAACACCTACTGCCATATCTGGTGCCTCATCACGGATCCACGCATCAAATAATCTCATGCTCTCTTTACTCACTTTACCAAGCAGCAGCATCCCTATCAAACCGACTCAACTCCTTCCCCGCATCCTCCACATCCTTCTTGGCCTTCATCCTCATATAAAAGATCGGACAATCCTTGCTTGAGCAAATAACCTCACAATGCATACTTCCCTGACACCTCTGACACTGCGTCCAAAGCCTACTGAACCTTACTTCTAGATCACTGACTTTACCCAATGTCCTTTGATAAAGTTCTCCTATCCTAGGAGCGCAGTCTGAACATACTGCTCCTTCGGCTTCGGCTTTTCCTACTAAGGGCTTCTTGCAGCCCATGCAAGTGAATGTCTTCTTGGCGAATTTCATGAGCCCACCAATTGAAGGGGCAGCGACGGAGATGGAGCGTGTATGATCACCTGCTAGTAGGGAGTTGGCTTTTGTTTCACCGAGGATAGGCTCGAAGATTCTGCCGAGGGGTTTGGCGAGTTGGTTGTCGAGGTAGTATTTTGTGTCGATAGGGATGTTGTTCTCGAGGACGAAGATTGGGTCTTCGGATCGTTCGAAGTTCTTGGCGCCGGCGGAACCTTTGATGATCACGTAGGCGACTCGGTCTCCGAGTGTGGGTGCTGAACCTGCGTCTCGCTTCTTCATGCGTTCTGCGAGTTCGACGTGTGCTTGCTTGGCGGTATAGTCGGCTTTTGCGAGAGCTTTGGTGATTACAAGCTTGGACATGTCGATTTTGTTTTGCAGCAAATCCGAGATGGTATCTTTCACGTAGCTGTAGGATATTAGTTCACTTTCCTGAATCGCAAGGGAGAACATACTCTTGAGCGCCTTGGACATCCTGGTCTATCAAGATCATGCGCAAGACTGTCTCAATGACGTTCTGGACCAACCGACAGTTGTCTCTTCGGACTGTCTCAATACCCTTCGTGTCCATCTTGTCGTACTTGTCTGGATTCGTCCAATACAGACCAGCATAACGCTTCTTGTTGATCAGCAGATATGGGAAGTAGACTTTCTCGAATTCAAGCTTGATAGGTTTGATGAACTTCGATGAGACATATTGTGCTGCCTCCTCACCCAGCTTCATTGCGGCCGCTAAGTCCTTCACACCAAATTTGACCATGACGGAATCGGTATCACCATATATGACTTGGGCATTGTGGGTGTATCCGTTGGCGATGGTGTACTTTGCCTCAACTTCCGCTTTCGTCTTCTCAATCATCTGACGACCATAACTTGTCGTGCTACTAGCGATCTGGAGACAGGGAAGTTTGCCGACAGTGGCACCAGTAAGACCGTAGACACTGTTGGCGCTGATCTTCAAGGCCAATTGACGACCATTCAGCACAGCTTTCTTGAAGGGATCGGTCTCGACTGCGAGTTCTCGCTTAGCCTGTTTTCGGGCAGTGAGCAACTCCTCCAGAATGTGGGCCAACAATCCCTTTCTCTGCTTCGTTGTGCAGAACATGTCACCAGTTGGGGTGACAATGTAGTCTTCATCCTTCACCAGATTCAGCTTCTCGACCGCAGCCTTGTTCAAGAGCGTTGTGTAACAAAGATTGTGCGCTTGAATAATACTGGGGTACAGTGAAGCGAAATCCAGAGTGGCAATGGGAACATCATAATAACCTCTCGCAGGCTCGATGACAGTAGCACCTTCATACTGCTCATCGGATGCATCGGTCCGCATATTTGGTACAACAAGCTTCTGCTCCAAGGCTTTTCGGAACAGTTGACTGACGAACTTGACTTGTTGACCACGGGACAAGAGATAGTTGAATGGCACACCTGTGACTCTGGCCATCTCGGTGTAGTTCTCGAGACAGGATAGTTTGTCCATCAATCGTTGGGGTAGGTAGGCATCCTTCAAACAGTAGACTGCTAATCTTCGTCTCGACTCTGGTGTTCCGTTGAAAAGTTCGGTAATCATAGTATGATGCACATCTTCCTTCTGCTCGCCCAAGAATTGTGCACACACCGAGTTGAGAGTATAACTTCGGAGTTGATGATCTCGCTGGACCAACTGTAACAGATCCAGTTGCAGTCGTCCGTTCGTAGTAGTAGTCTTGCTGTCACGATTGCCCATCTGCTTGCTCGAGAAGTTCGTGTCCTTGGATACAGATCTGACATTGTGCAATCTTGTCCATTTATCAAAGCCAGCAACTTTTAGATGCTTCGCGCGATCTAGAAGGTATGGGAAATCAAAATTGGATATGTTGTAGCCGATGATGATGTCGGGATCAACTTTCTCCAAGAAGTCTCGCCATTCCATCAACATCTTCTCTTCCCTCTCGTATTCGAAGATTTGTGTGTTGACGATCGTGCTGGTGGTGTCAAGACAAAAGACGTTACGGACGAAGGGCTTCTTCTCTCCGTATCGAGTGACAATATTTGCAATTTGGATGACAGGATCGTGAATTGCCTCTGGGAAGATACCCTTACGTCCAGCGCATTCAATATCGAAGGACAATATCCGGAGCGGTGCCATCTTTGCCCATTCTCCTTCTGGTTTGTGTGCGATTAGGTCTCGATATGATATGGAGGCTTCGATTTGACAATTTGAGTGTCGTTGGTTCTGCGGGACCATGCGGTAATCTTTAGCTGGAGCCTCGACCCAAGACATGCCCGCAATCTGCTCCTAATCAGTATATGTACCCAGGAACCAAGGGAGTAGCCTACGTGGCAATCGATCATGAATCGCAAGACATATTGGATACTATCGAATGTCAAGATTCCATCTGCACTTTTCCACATTCCTTTCCAATTGAGGTTTCCGGTCTCGAGACTGCTTCTGACTTTGTTGATGTGCTTCGGGTCCGTCACTGTAATCTTGATGTATGGATTTTGTTGATTGCCTGAGAAGCCGTACAAGTTCTCTCGCATAACCAATCCGACGGAATGTATGACAGGTTGGTGCATGGCAATCGAAGTTTCGAGGTATGCCTTGAAGCCTTCACAGTCGTGTGGGGTGAAGGATATCGGAGCAGCGATATAAAGATAGTGGAGGAAACCTGTTACGTGAAGCATAACAGAGTGGCCAGTCTTGAGACAATTGTCAGTAGGGGGCGAAGTGTTGGAAGGCCACCACTTGCCTCAGTGACACCAAAGAGTTTGATACAAGCTTTGCCATCTTCAAATGTTCCCTCCTCGCATTCAATCTGCTGGAAGCATAAATTGTCTTTCTGCGCGTCGAAGTCTCCCAACCCCGGTCGTGCCCATTCCTGATCCTTTTCCGAATTGTTCTTCTTCAAACCAGCCATGTCCTGCGTCATCTTCTCCAGCACCTCGCTCTCGAAGTGGGAGGGCTGAATAGAGCCCAC